GTCATTGGTAGCTAGGCTTGAGCCACCATGGGTACGACTGGCATGAGTAAGCATTGATGACCGCTGAAGGAAGCAATCTGGACAGCGGACACAGCAAAAGCCAGACTCATGTATCTTGAGTCCAGCAATGGGAGGGCCACCAGGTGCAGGGGGGAGAATCTTGTGATCACGGCAAAGTCCATATTCTTCTGCAAGTGCAGCTAATTCTGCAGCATCAGTCTTCCTCACTGGAACCCCATGCCCTTTAACATGTGCAACTGCAGCAGATGGGACCCAGCAGATTTCGCAGGCCACGCAGATCACGACTTTCAAGTACGCATGGACACGTAAGCCAAGTCGCTCAAGCAAGGGTGTAGAAATCAAGTGATTTTCAGTCTGAGGGATAGGAGGTTGCGTACTTGGACGATGCACAGGCAGCAGCAATGGTTGATGTGTGGCAATGTTTGCCTGATCCAAATCATCACGCTCCACAGCTTGATCTACATGTGGAGATGCAGCAGGGTGTGGGTCACTGAGTGGAGCAGAGGGGCCTGTGTCAACATCCATTGCATCAGAATCACCGACTGGTGTAGTGCCCTCTTGTGGAGCACAGAAATCTTGATCTTTGTGGCTCTTCAAATGCACTCCCATTTGCATGCGAGACTTATTGTCGAACTTGCAATCGGTTACAGGACACTTCAGAGCCTCTTGCACTGCATTGCGTTGAAGGATGACCACATTATCTGTCATGTTATCAGCATCATTAAACTTGAGAACTTCTAATCCACATACCTCGGAATTTGAGAGTATTTATCAGAGCATGCTCATCCTCTGTGTGATAATCCAAGCTGTTGACTTTAGTACCACAAAGCTGACACTTGGTTCTGAATAGCCAGTGAGCAAAGCAAATAAACACAAATAATAAGCACTCACTTGGCCATTATAGGATATTCAATGATTCCAGCTGCTAAGCATCAATGATGAGTAAAACCCCCTGTGGCTGTGCAAAAACTCGAACATAGAACAAACAGAAGTAAACAAGCAATGTGTGTGGCCAGGTCTGGTGAGAAAATAGTTGTGGCTGTGCAAAAACTCGAGCTTGTACCAAGCAAAGCCACACAAACAATCTGGGACCCAGGCAGACAAGCTAGGAACAACTGGGGATGTCTTGAATACAGGAGACTATAACTGACCTGCTTATTAAGCAAAAACTCGAAATTGGAACAAATAGAGCCCAACAAATAATCCAGTAGCCCTGGACAGAGTGTGGTGGTGGTAGGAAGAGAGAAGGGATTGGTGGCAGTGTAAAAACTCGAACTTGAAGCAAAGCCATGCAAAGAGGTACAAACATGTACAAACATGTACAAACAAAGACAAACCCGGGCAATAAAGAGAGAGTTATAGGGCCTGCTATCTCACATGCATGAGGGAAGCTTACCAACCTAGGTTAGTTAACAGCTGGGGAGCCATAAATTCTCGTAGAATTGGAGGCACCTGGCGGATTAGAACCCGCCTCTATAATCGCTCAATGGCGCGTCACAGACCGTTAGACCAACCGGGTCAGAGTACTCAAAAGCGCGGGACCGATATATAGCCTTCGGCTTCAAGTTGGACTTAAGCCCATTTTTCATCTTATGCTTCGGGGTCATGTAGCATATAGGATTCATGTATTCTATCTACCAGTGTCTACTACATCTTAGTGTAATAACTATACTACCTCAAACATGGCTGACGAACCGCGAACCATGCGCGCGCACGACTTCGGTGTGGGCAGTAGTGGGAGGTGGCAAGAAAAGATAAAACAAATCATAAAAAATTAAGGACTTACTCAATCGCAAAGACGCCTACGGCGTCGTATTCCTACGAGCTGCACGAGTCAGAATCACCCCGCTTTGAAGCGGGGCGACGCGTTTCGACGTCGGCGCGATGCACGACGTCGGGGAGAGGGAGGATGACATCGCGGCGCCGGCGAGACTGTTAGCCGCACGTGGTGATCGGTGGGGTTTGAGAAAGGTTGTAGGAAGACGGCCCCGTCGAAACGCGCGGGTTCGCGCGCTCTCCGGGGCCGTTCTTGGGGGAGTATGTGGAAGGGGGGAGGAGGGTGACAAAATAAATGATAGAAAAATAACGACTTACTCGTTTAGTAGAACGCGCGGTGCGTCGTGTTCCTGTCGTCCACGCAATCCGCGACCATTCGCACTTGATGCGGGGCGTTGCGATTGTGTCTCGGCGCGAAGGTCGGGGCTGGGGGTGACGACGCGGCGACAGCGGAGGCGGCAGCGGTCGCAGAGGCGAGCAGCGCCCCGGAAAGGTGCTCGCCGGGCATAGGACGCGATCCGCAACAAAGCGGAAGGCAGGCGGGGCGAGGCAGGGCGTGCGCGAGGTCGGGAGGAGGTGGGAGGGTCCGGGCCGAAGAGCAAAAGATATAGAGCGCCGACGAGCGCGAACGTCGTCGACGTTCGCATCTCGTCGACGTCCTGGCTCTCGTAAGAGCCAGGAATGGCCGTCTGCGCGATGGCAGGCGGCCTGGGGAACGAGCAATGGGGGTGGGGGGGGAGGGGCCAACTTGAGAGAAGAACAGAGATTGCCACAGAACGAGCGCACGTATTCGCGTGCGCTCGACTGTGGCACACTCTGCTACGCGTCAAGAGTCAGAAATGACATCAAAACCGAGAACGACGGCACGTTCTCGGTTTTGAAGTCGCGCGACGGACGGGAGGGGAGGGCAGCGCCGGCGACGCTAGCAGCGACTGTACTGGCCAGAACGAGCTGTACCACGCTTGATTCGTGGTACAGCAAACGTCCTGACCTGACGGCGCCGCACGGGCGCCATCGGGTCCGTCCCCACATGGAGATGAAGGGAGGGGGTGGTTGGGCTGCACAGAATTGGCCGCAACTCGACGACGAGACATCGCCCACGCAAGGCGCATATCTCGTCGTCGTCCTGACTCCCATGGGAGTCAGGAAATGGCCTCCTATCCGAGGATAGGCAGCCGGAGAAGCGGGGAGGAAAGGGGAAGTGTAGGGGGTTGAAAAACACAAAAACGAAAATTAAAGAAGAACGGGGCCGCTGTTTTGCGCGGCCCCGGCGTCGTCGGCTTCCTGATGTCGTGTAGAGTCGAAATGAGCATCGAAACCGAGAACGCGGCGGCGTTCTGGGTTTCGAGCTCGGGAGGGCGGCGGGGGCGGGTAGACGCGCTGGCGGCGTTCGCGCGGCGTTCGTACGGGCTCCGATCGATGCAGGGACAATGTTACCACCTACAGGAAGGTAGTACACCTGTAAAATAGACAAACGGGGCCAGCAGCACGCCCCCGCGATGAGTCGCGAGGCGGGCATGCCAGCCCCTTGTATCAAATGATAAAACATCGAATTTCAATGTATTTACATACCTTTCTACCCTCTCCTCTGCTCACAAGCCCTCTAACCTTCACTTCCACAAAACAGATCAAACATCCAGGGGTTGAGGATGCAGCGGCGGCGTCGGTAGTGGCCTCGAGAGCACGACGCGGGACTTTGCGTCTCGCGCGCGTCGGCGCGTCTCCGAGCGTGCCTCGCTCGGGCTCTAGAGCATAAATTAGGGTCAATAAAACATGTACCCGGGGGTTTTCATACCCGCTCAGTACAATGAAATACTTACCGAAGCTCGACGTTGTGAGCGTCGACGTCCGCGACCGACTTTGCATTCGCGCCACCGCATTCGGATTGCTTATATAAGCGCACGTGCAAACGCGAATAGGCCGCGCGTCGCAGCATTTGCAGCTCTCTCCTTCCCTCGACATTGCCAACTCTCGAGGCTCATCAAGACCAGCTTTTAGAGTAGAATCTTTTATTATAGCTATATTCTATAGATATGCCTCCTATCAGGAACACAGTGATTGGATTGAAGGGCAAGGGCCCTCCTGGAGTGAGGCCTGCTCCTGCTGTGGTTCCTCCCCCTGCTCCTGCTCCTGAGCCTCCTGTCTCTGGGGCTCCTGAGGGTGAGAATCCTGCCAATGCCCCTGGAGAGACTGAGAAGCCTCCGAGGAAGCTCTCGAAGGTGGAGTTGAAGGCCAAGAGGCACTTAGACACCATTGCTCCAGCCAAGGCAGCATTCGAGGCGCTTCCGAAGGATCAGAAAGCTCCAAAGTCCAAGACGGATAGGACCAACCACACCAAGAGAGATGCAGCCATTGAGGCTGTCGGGAAGGCGCTCACAATGGTGACTTATGCGAGGCGAGGTGAGCGTGGTATTTGTACTGCGGATGGCTGCGGTGGTGAGTTCTTTCTGTGGTTCAAGGAGAATTACTATGACTGACCTGCTTACCAGGTGCTCTCATCA